TTGCTTGGGATGCTCAACGTCTGAGGAAGTATATGCTGACATACACGACCTTTCTAATATAAAAAATGGATCTGATAAAGTATATCTTTGAGAAGCCAGCACTCACAGTCAGGCTTGCTCGATGGCAGATGCTCTTATCTGAATATGACATTCAGTAAGTTACACAAAAGGCTATCAAAGGTAGCATTCTTGCGGATCATCTTGCTCATCAGCCGTTGGGGGAGTACCAATCAATGAAATTCGACTTCCCTGATGAAGATGTCATGAAGCTTGATGATTATGATGGGGTCGATCCGGAAGAGCGATGGACTCTTACGTTTGATGGTGCCTCGAACGCTGCAGGCCATGGCATTGGGGCAATACTGACTTCTCCATGTAATACTCATACACCGTTTACGGCCCGGTTATGTTTCGATTGTACAAATAATGTGGCAGAATATGAGGAATGTGTAATGGGTCTAGAGGCAGCTATCGACCTTAAAATCAAAATCCTGGAAGTCTTTGGAGACTCTGCTTTGGTCATACATCAGGTACGAGGTGATTGGGAGAAGAAACACCCCAGTTTGATCCCGTACAAAGATTACATCTTGAAGTTAATACCCGCTTTTGAGGAAATCACCTTTGAACATATCCCCAGGGATGAAAACCAGTTGGTTGATACTTTAGCCACACTAGCATCTATGTTTTCGGTGAGCTTTCCAAATCAGGCGCCTAATATACGCATCCTCAGGTACAAAGAGCCGGCACATGTCTTTCCTGGCCATTGCCTCTCAACCGAGGATATGACTGATGAGAAGCCGTGGTATTACGACATTAAACGGTACCTCGAGAAGCAAGAGTATCCCAAAAATGCTACAATTTGTGATAAGCGTATGCTTAGGAGGTTAGCATCCAAGTTCCTCTTATCAGGAGACGTCCTGTATAAAAGAAATTATGACTCGGTTCTGCTCATATGTGTGGATAGACACGAAGCAGAGTCGATCATAAAGGAAATCCATGAGGGTTCTTTCGGGACTCATTCGCGTGGGCATTCTATGGCAAAGAAAATCCTACGAGCAGGATACTTCTGGACGACAATGGAGAGCGACTGTTGTGTATATGCAAAATTGTGCCACAAATGCCAAGTATATGTAGACAAAATTCATGTTCCTCCAACTCCGCTGAATGTTATGACCTCCCCGTGGCCGTTTGCGATGTGGGGAATTGATATGATTAGAAGGATAGAACCAAGTGCTTCAAATGGTCATAGATTCATCCTAGTGGCTATCGACTATTTCTCCAAATGGGTAGAAGCAGCTTCTTACTAGAATGTAACCAAATAGGTCGTCCCCAATTTCATCAAGAAGGAAATCATATTTCGTTACAGAGTCCCTCATAGAATCATCACTAATAATGGTTCTAATCTCAACAACAACATGATGAAGGAATTGTGTGAAGAGTTCAAAATTGAGCATCACAATTCATTGCCGTATCGACCGAAAATGAACGGTGCAGTCGAAGCTGCTAACAAGAACATAAAGAAGATCGTCCAGAAGATGGTCAGAACGTCAAAGATTGGCATGAAATTCTGCCTTTTGCTCTACATAGCTACATAACATCTGTGCGCACTTCAACAGAGGAAACTCCATTTTCGCATGTCTATGGCACACATTCCGTGCTTCCTGTCGAAGTAGAAATTCCTTCGTTGAGGGTTCTGATGGAGACCGAGCTTGATGAGGCAGAGTGGGTTCAGACAAGGTTCGACCAACTTAATCTGATTGATGAAAAGCGGTTGATGGCCATCTGTCATGGCCAGTTTTACCAACAAATAATGAAAAGAGCATTCGACAAAAAGATTTGTCCTTGAAAGTTTTATCCTGGTGATCTGGTCTTGATAAGGGTCATCGTGCAAAGCCATTCCGACCCAAGAGGCAAATGGACTCCCAATTACGAGGGATCATACATCGTGAAGAGAGCTTTTTTGGGAGGTGCCTTGATCTTGACAGACATGGATGGGGAAGACAATCCCCTCCCAGTCAATTCAGACTCAGTCAAAAAATTCTACGCATGAAGAGACCCGCTAGGTCGAAAACCCGAAAGGGCGGCTTAGGCAAAAAATGGGCATCCCGATGGACCCGAAAGTCCAGGAAAAAGTTAGGGATAAAATGAAAAAATAACAACCCGCTAAGTTGAAAACCCGGAAAGGGCGACTTAGGAAAAAATGGGTATCCCGTTGGGTCGAAAATCCGAAAGGGCGACCCAAGCAAAAATTAGGGATCTTAAGCGAGAGGCTGTAGTCTGAATGCTCTTCATAAACGATACATGCACATCTATAGCATCTTGGCGGCGAATCGACCGGTCCAACTACTACTCTTTAGAGGCAAGGCATTGAGACAACTTAGGATATGGGAATTGTAACAATACCGGTTTTAATGGAAATTCGAGCATCTCTCATTGCCATTTATACCTGTTGTATTTTTTCCTGTTTCGCAGTACCTCATATAGGAGTTGCTTCCTTGTACAAATGCATATTCACAGGCCAATCAATAAAATATGATTTCATCAAAGTTGTCTCTTATTATCATGAAATGTTTTGTATGCATAATATGTTTTATTTGTTATTAAACGTGGCATTAGAAACATAGGGAATAAAAATTCTCAAGCCGAGATAAAACTTGACTTTACATCGATGTATAACCATGTGGGAATGTCGTACGCATTCCAAGTGTTTTTTTCCTTGCAAGTAGCAATTCGTAGCGGTCACCCTGACCTCGCCAGCGCACAAAGCCACCTTCATCTCCTACAGACAACTTCAAACCTAATTCCCCAAGTGAGTTCAGAAAATTCAGAGTCGTTGTTGGAATCAGCACGCGCAAGTGCATCCCCTATAGAGTTTATCAAGAACGTCCCCAGTGAAGCTAAACTAGGGCATTCACAAAGCTAAATTGGGACATTCGCAGAGCTAAACCGGGGCATTCACAAAGCTAAACCGGGGCATTCGCAGGGCTAAGCCGGGGCATTCTTAGGTGTCCATGCCCATCTCTTATCCCCAAGTGATTCAAGAGATAATTCCCCAATATGCATAAACTAGGGGCATGTATTCAAAGAGATCCACATGGTGTTCGGTATCCATTCTTCGGCATATTCAGTTCTATCATCCTCTCGAAGGTTCAGGATATACAGAAGTCTGGACAGATTATCTCTTCCCCAATGGTACAATTCAGAATTCAGCAGCGTATCTGAAGGCTCGCTTCGTCGGCGATTCAATCTCCAACAGAGTCATCAACAATCTTAGATATCATGGGCTCCCCAATGCAATTCTTATCAGTATCCCCAATGATCTTTGGTAATGTAGGCTTCCAGCACCGATATCTATTGACATCCCCAATGATGAGTAATGGTTGCCAGCAAGCTTTCTCTTATCCCCATGAAGTCTATTTCTTCGCATTGCATATAGTTATCACTACATAACATTTCATCCTCAAAAGCGTGTAGCCGATCCATCAGAGTGGATCTTTGCGGTAAAATAAATTCAAACATGCATACGAAGCATAAGCCAAATCAGGTACCTTACACAAAAGATCTGAATCATTCAAGGACAACAATACATCCCTACAAGAGGATATCATTCCCTAAATCCCCAGTCGATGACCCTCACCTTTTCAAGTTCCCAGCAAAATCAATACACTCGTCTGTGTAAATTCCTAAACACTCGTCGTGTCGACTTCTGAACACTCGTCGTGTCAACTTCTAACACTCGTCCGTATAAATTCCTAAACACTCGTCCGTGTTTAAAACTTTTGATACTCGTCTGTATCTCCTTTCAATACTTGTCCGTATTGATTCAAACGCTCATCTGTGATTTCACCCTTTGATACTCGTTCATATCTCCTTTTAACTCTTGTTCATATTGATTCAAATGCTCATCTGTGATTTCAACCTTTGATACTCATCTGTATCTTCTTTTAACTCTCGTCCGTATTAATTCAAACACTCGTCCGTATCTTCCTGCAATACTCGTCCGTATTAGTTTAAACGCTCGTATGTGTTTAACCTTTCTTGATACTCGTCTGTATCTTCTTTCGATACTCGTCCGTATTGATTCAAACACTCATCCGTGTTATCTCTCCCTTGATACTCGTCGGTATCTCCTTTCAATACTCGTCCTTATTGATTCAAACACTCGTCCATGTTTAACCCTTTGATACTCGTTTGTGTCTCCCTTCAACTCTCGTCTGTATTGATTCAAATATTCGTCTGAGTTTAACCTTTTGATACTTGTCTGTATCTTCTTTGAATACTCGTCCGTATTGATTCAAACATTCGTCCGTGTTTAACCTTTTGATACTCGTCCGTATCTTCTTTCAATACCCGTCCGTATTCAAACACTCGTCTGTGTTTGACCTTTCTTGATACTCGTCCATATCTTCTTTCGATACTTCTCCGTATCGATCCAAAACACTCGTCCATGTTGTACCTTCCTTGTATTGTCATCATGCCACGTTACAAGCCCAATCTCTGTCTTTTCACTAAAAAACAAAAATTCCAGCTGATACCGCAAATAAATAAACACTTACACTCTCTCAGGACAAATTTTTGGCATTAATATTTAATCATCTTTTACCTCGAACTTCCAAAAGGCACGCGCCAATCATACTTTCAAGTTTAAGACGATTAAATAGGGGCAGCTGTAATACCCCAAATTTGTCCTACCCTTTTAACTTTTATCTGACTTATGCATCGTCGCGCTTTTCTCATATACATAACTCCATTAGGTCATTTAACATTGCATACATTCACTAACAACATAACTTCGCAAGGGGTCGAGAACCTTCAGGAATTAGGGTTTCAATATCGGTTTTTTAGTAGAGATTGCATTGAGCTAGGGTTTGGGTCTTCTTCACTATTTCGAGCCTTATCATCCATCTCCAAGAGTTCTTTAAGCTAGTTATATTGTGGGCCCTGCAAGTCAAGATATCTTTGAAGGTTGAGGTGCAAAAGCTTTGAGTTATGACACAAAGATGTTATTGTGGAATCATAGGGTGATCAAGACGTTGTTATTTGTTGCTTATAGTACAAGTCACTCAATTGGACTTCATTCAAAAGACTTTGCATTATGCATGGAAATTCATAAAGACCAGGGTTTGAGAAGTAATATCTGTGTTGCAATCACCACTTGGATTGGGGTTCTTTTCAATGCGCTTATGTTATCAAGTGAATTCGGTTATGTTTAGCCATAACTATCATATGGTTCGGTTCAACGTATTAAGCTCTCGCTTGGTTCCTATCACCATTTGAAGTTTGGTTCAATTGAGTTTATTATCGTCAATTCAAAGGTTGGTTCAAGACATTTACTTTGGATCTCATGCAAATATTTGAGGTTTTACATGGAGTGTTTTGGGGATCTTTTCTAAGAAGGAAGTAATTTGTGCGAGTCTTGACTCTTAGTCACAGTCAACCACGAAAGGTGGACCTTTGACCGATGTATTTTTGGTCACTTTCGGTTTTCATCTCGTGGTTTATCTAAGTGTAGCATGGCATGGCATAAAGTACAAACGGGAGAAGACTTGAAATTTTAAATGAAACCACAATGGATGGAAAACAACTCAACTTGATTCAAGTGTCGTTATTACAAATTCAAGGATGCATTACAACTTTAACCAAAATCCTTAAATGTTTAAATAACTCCAAATTAAAGTTTCCATTACAAAAAAAACATTTCGAATCATATTCAACATCAGTTGCAAATCCAATTACAATTACATCACACCAAAGATATCACAAACAAAAATTTTAGTATTGGCAATTCAAGTGTCCCTTGCTGCAATATCACCCAGTTCCGGTGGGATAAATGGCTTATAACTAGCAGAACTTCAATCAAGAATAACATCAGTTTTTGAGTTCGTGGCTAAGGATGCTGATGTGGGTCAGATCCTGAAGGATATTAAACATATTCTTGAAGACGCACATGATACATCCATCCAAGACTCTATTGTTGTCACTCCCCACGATGTCCCGCCTTCGGATATTCCATGTGATAAAAAGGATAATTCTGAAGATGCCGGTTCAGTTGCAGAAAAAGAACTCATTTCATCCCAAGAACCTACTCAATATATACAAATAACTTCTGATGTAGAAGCTGCAATTTCTCAAAGTCATGACTTCATATTATTCCTAGACAGAGAAACAATGGCCCTGCATAGGTGAAAATACCAGTTCAGCCTTGTATATAATTAATAAAACCAAGCTAGAAAAACCACCTGTTCAAAAATATAGCCTTGCAAACTGTCATAACAGAAAAACCAAAACATAATTTTAACAAACTCCAAGCCTCTTCATAACAGGCTTTTCCTAACCCTTTACCAACTCCCAAGACTGTTAAAAACAAATCTAACTTTTAGCTTAAGTCTCCAGCTAACTATTTCTTTAACCTCCATAACAGAATGATAACAAACTACCTTAATAACAGATACCAGAATTCTAAACCATCTAAAACCTCTAACCAACTGTTATGACAGCCAACTAACCTTCTCACCCTTAAAAAATTCCTAACAGACTTTAACAAAATCTCCTAACTGTTGTCCAACTCTAAACCATATAACAAACTCACAAAAAATAGTTAACCAATCCCTAACTGTTTTCTAACCGATAACAACTAATTCTAACCAATTACATAACCACCAAAACAGAATTATCTAACGGTTTTTTCAAAACAGAAGCATAACAGAACTAGCAGCTAGCTAACATAACAGATTTCTAACCTATTAACTGCTTCAAAAAAACCCAACCAACTAACTCTTAACAGAATCATCAAAAAAAATTGGCTAACCGTAACAGAAAAATAGAAAATAGAAAGAGAAGGAGGGCATACAATCATCTACAGAAAATCAAAAATAAAACTCACCTCACCCTCTTTGAGAAATTATTTTTCACCAAAAAAATATCCAATCTATCTGCAATCTTCACCTCAAAATGTCTGCACCTTCTCTTCGACTTGCTTCAATCACCCTCATTGCAAGAACGTTATCGCCTCTCCATAACTACCTTCATCTACCAGCAACCTCACCTTTCAACTTTAATCTCTCGGCACTTTCTTGAATCCTTCAACTTCTCAACACTGTAACGTGTAACCACCTTCAATCTTTATCAGTTCTGCTTTAACATTCTTCAATCAGCTTCATCGACATAACTGCATATTTGACTTCATTTTACAATCAAATCCGAGCAACAACAAAACGTCAGTAACCGCATCATATTCGCGATTCACACAGAAACTAAATCAGAACGCGAAATCAGAGAAGAAGTACAAGGAGAGACGAAGGAGAAAAGAACGATTGGACAATGTTACCTGAGGTTTCGACGCCAGCAGTTTCAAGTCTCCATCGGAGCGTCTCCGATCAGTAACTTCAAACTTTTATTACTCTTTATTTCTGCGCATGATTTTTGTTTATCATCTTTGAAGTTCGAGAATGAGGCTGCACCGTTGTGGAACAAGAGGAGTTGTCGATTGAAGCTTGAGCAGAGACGATCAGAAGCGGAACACATCGTAGCCATTCGCAGTAGCCGGAGAGAAGAAGAGAAATTCGTTTTGTGTTTCTTGTGAGATTCCAGAAGTCATACACTGTAGCCCTAATCCTTTTCAATGTTTTTTATTCCTTTTAATCATTTGTTTTTTCCCTTAATATGCTGAATCAGAATAGTAGATAAGCTGAACTCTTTTCTCTTTTTGTGTTATACAATTGGACTGGACCGAAATTGAATGCCTTAGGCCCGTTTCTAATTTCCTTTTTTATATACATGAGGTTTTTTGAACAAAAAAACTGCTAATGGACCTCATTCTGAAGTGGGTCTAGCGCCATGCTTATGTAAAACCATCTTGAATTAGGCCTACACCCCCCAGAGCTTATTAATTCTCTAGTAGATTTAGATTCTTTCACTTAAATTTTCTTTTATATTTTTTTCTCTACGATAAATAAATATATGATAAAAATGGTAAAAATATTAGAAGGCATTTTAGAAATTAATTAGGAATATATTTCTTCTTTTGCTAACTTTTTAGTCAATTTTAATCATTATTTTTATTCATTTTATATCATGTATTTTGTTTGCGATTTTTGAGTATGGATCGTATGCACTGCTTTAATACTTGCTACCAATTTTACTTGTTTGTATAGTCTTTCATGATCCCTTAGGATATTTCGGTTCAAATTTTATCTTCGATTTAATTGAACTAAAATTGGACATTAGGATTATAAATCCAAGCATGCAAACATTAGGTAGAATTCCCTCAAAATTCTAACTTTAGGTATAACAATGCATGATACAATTAGGTTTAGAAATAGGCTAGTCCCCCTGTGACTTTTCTTTCCCTTTTTGCATATGCACCTAAAACTAAAACTTCTTTTTCTTTCAAAATTCAAAACACTTTAAAGCTACTGGTGAGAATCACGCCTTTGCTTAGTATGGGAAATGATAAGCATGTCTCTTCTCGATCTTATTGGTCTTCATCTCAAGTATAGGTGTGGTTCAATTCTCAAAGACTCATTTCATGGCTAAGTAGAAAAGTGGCTAATATCTCTCTCATGAGGTCAACTAGTCATTATCTGCAACAAAATACAAACCAACTCAAACCATTTTGTGCGCTCGAGCACCTTCCTTTAAAACCCTTTTCAGGTAAGGACATGATTAGTTTACTTCTGTGCCAACGCATAAGTCTCCAAAGGTTGAGCTGCGAAAGAAGGCTGGATTAACTTCATCCATAAAAAACACAAATAAACAAAAACCTATAAGCCGAACTACAGTAGCTCTGATTCCTCAAAACGGATACGTAGGCATTGGGGTAGGGCGCAAGCGAGCACAATTTTATTTTCCCTACATTCTTTTCTCATTTATTTTGCATGCATTCCCTTTAGCAGTAGTAAACAATAAGCATAGTTTAAACACACCCATAAGATAGATAACAAGAGTGGATATCGTAGAGTACTATAGGCGCGTGGGGTGCTAATACCTTCCCCTTGCGTAACAGACTCCCTTACCCAATCTCTCGGTCGCAAGACCGTGACTTCTCCCTTCTCAGATTTTCTCGATGTTTACCTTTTCCCTACATGTGGGATAAAAGACGATCGATGGCAACTTCATTGTTTGGTGATTTTCAGCCGGTTGTTTCAACCCTGCATTCCACTGAGACATGCAATGCCTCATTATGCTTCCTTCCTCTTGGCGTTAAATCAACATCCGAAAAACCTAGACCATTATCTGCAGTCAAGATGGCTATGCTGTCTTGGAATTGATCGGCAAATGTTTCTTGGGGTACATGGGCAGTTTTCAGGAATTTTACCAAGGCTTTTGCATGCGTCTCGGAACATAGTAGTAAAGTCAGCATAAAAATTTTGGATGGAGTTTGCCCCAGTTGCTAAACTACATCATAGTCAATTCTTTTTATGATCTTTAGAATTTCCTCTATCTCTTTTCGGGAGGTTTTAAGGATAGCCAATGATTGTGCCTTCGTCTGGAAAGACTCAATCAGAATACTTTTACCTCGAGTCTCGGTTAAATCGGCAACAGGAATGTCAGCAGGAGTGGTAGCAGGGATTGTAACAGCTTTTTCAGTTAGAGTATTGGTGGAGATGATTGTAAGATTGTGTGATACGGTGGCAGAACCGACTGTTAAATACTGGTTTGTATTTTGTATTCGCAAATGTCACGGTAAGCAAGAGTCGCCACCGACTTTTATTTTATCCAACAGGAAAGGAAAAAAGCACATAAAAATTCCTTTTTCGAGATTTTGAGTACGGGGGGTAGACTATAGAAAGGGAAGGTATTAGCACCCTTTCCATCCGTGGTTTTCCACGGGCTCTTAGATACTTTATCATCATTTTTGAAATTTCTTATGTGTTTGTGTGATTTGAAATTTTTTTTGTTTGACTTTGATTTAACCCTTGCTACTGTCTTCAAGAGTGTTACGAAGCGTTTTTGAAAACTTTGTTTGAAAGAGTGTAAGTGTGAAAAAGGTTTGTTTGTTTTGAGCAAGTACCTAACAGTTATCTACCTACTCGAAAAAAGGATCGTTTCTATTCTCGTTTCCTTTAGACAGCGCTATCCCACTATTAGTGAGTAGGTAGCACCGTCGTTGGAATTTTTAAGGGTCAATTCGAAAGCGACATAATGGTCATTGAAGGCAACATGTAAGGATACCTTAGCATTTCGAAGGGACTGTCATCATATAATTGTAGGCAACATCGAGGGATAAGATCATATACCGTAGGCAACTTCGAGGGACATCGAGGGACCATGATTTTTATGATGAATTTAACCGAGGGTCTTTGCTAAGGGTATCCCTATGTTCGAGGGACATGACCATTGTTTTCGAGGCAACCAAGTGAGGCATACCCTAAGAGTGAGCATGTGCATGTGATTTGTTTCAATTATTTAATCTTTGCATATTAGGTGATCTACCATTTCAATTTTCAGTTTGTCTTTCCATACAATCCTATTAACATACATCTAAGCAGTTTATAGTTTGCGGAATTTAATATGCGGAAAATAAACTAAGCTATTACAAGGCTTCAGGTATTTACGTAGCAAAAAAAAACCCTTAAAAAAACGATAAATGAAAGTAAAAAGGTCCTAATTAATCTATTACAACTTGTGAGCAATTACATTAATATGGTAAAATAAAATAAAGCGCGCGTGAATAAAGAACGAGAGAGAATTAGGGTTTTGACCCCGTCTAACCTAATCGAAAGAAAAATTATTTTTTGTTGTTTTTAATTATTTCTAAGAAAAAAGAATTAGGTTTTTTTTTTAAAATTAATTAGTAATTAAATTAGTTAAAAAAATAATTAAATGGCCTATTTTTGTGTTTTGTTATTTTAAGAAAAAAGAAAATAGAATTAAGTTAGAAACAAAATTCTAATTGTTCTAATTAATTTTAATTTTCTTACAAAATAATTAAAGTTACCTAAAATTAAATTAAAACCTAAAATTAATTATTTGAGTTTATTACAAAAAATCAAAGGTTTGTGAAAAATGTTAAGTTTTATGAAAAAAAGGTTTTAAACAGAAAGAATAAAAATAGATAAAAAGATAAATAGAAAGGAAGAAAATCAAAACCAATAGGGATGGTTATTGACCCACGCCCTTAACCTTCTCAAGATGTCTGCCTTGCCATGTATTGGTGTCATGTGTTGGCTGTTCTGTTTTGGCCATTTGTGTTTTGGCCTCAATGTTTTGTAATGGACTTGCATGAGATCCTGTCTAAATCTGCAGTGTTGAATCTCATGAACACATTAAATAAATTACTATATATCATGAAATATAAATAAAGTCAATATGTGAAAAAATTTAATGTTAAAACGGATATGGCATGTATGAATAATTATACTCTTTTGATCATGAAGATCAAACCAGCCTTACCCTTACTGGAGAAGTAGTGAGATGAATGCTTTTATGCCCTTTTGATCATGGAGATCAAGCCAGCCTTACCCTTACTGGAGAAGTAGTGAGATGTGGGTTTGTAACATGGATGGCTTGTTTGTAGTGAGATGGGGATTTGTAATAAGGATTCAAGGTTTTAGGGTTCTTGAAAGAATTTGATATTCTGACAGCGTTGTGGCAAAGGTTTTTTTTCGTCCCCTTCGTTTGTGTGAAAAGAATGAGATCATATAATAGAAATTAGAGAGAAAAAATGGGCTTTGAATGTGCAATTGGGCCTCCAATATTCACTTGAGTTCGTCACATTCTAGACTAAATCGCAGGGGCTGAAGTACAATTTTTGAAGTTAAAATGTGAAAACAAAATGTAGCTGACATCGAGAACTAAGTCCTGTCCGAAAATGGGCTCAATCGGATAAACGGTGAATTAGTTATGAATTTTTGAAGTTTCAGCTCAGACAGACTTATTTTGGGCTGCAGTGTCGACTCTGACACATTCTTCAATAAAAAACTGGTATTGACCGGAGCATAATCCGGTCTCGACTTTGGAAGCAAAGTTGTAGATCTCTGGCTCAGTGACCTTGTGTAAAAAGATGGGCCCAATCCGATAAAAATTGACTGAGTTATGAATTTTTGAAGTTTCGGCCCAGATGAAATAATATTCAGCATTCAGGATTTTCGGCGCGTCACACGCACTCTGAGCAAAAAATGAAGGCCTTTTGAATACCGTTCGAACTCGATACCTCCTGCAAAAACGTAGTCAACTCAATTTGTGAAATTTTGGCGCCAGAACCAGCTCAATATGATGAAAATCGACCAAGTTATGATTTTCTGAACATGACGCAAATAGACTTCTGTCAAAAAATTTCTGTATGAAAATACTTGATAAATCCGCATTTTTTAAGACCTTCTGATCGAAATTGGATTCTAGCCGTGAGAGATGAAAATGTAGATGACATCAAGAAGAAATTTTGGCCACCGAAACAGGTTCAAAACGAGCCACGATCTTCAAGTTATGAATTTTTTAGCGCGTAAAAACTGCACTTTCAGCACACTTTTTCACCATATTTCTTCGAGAAAACTCACCCATTCGGATACCTTCTTTAAAAAATTGACTCTTGAGCCGAACCTGAATTTGAGAATACGTTATCAGAGATATCTTGGCGAAAGA